ACTCTTTGAATGACTGCTCTTGATTCTGTAGGTTTTGGAAGCCAAATCTACACATCATATTCCCTAAATGAAAATTCACATTATTTGTTCCTGATAATCCGATAGCCACTCAACCACTTTCTCTTTTGGAACGTCGTTCAGTCGACCTGTACAGATTTCTAAAATATGTGCAAAACGAATCGCTTGAAATCGCTCATACCGAGTAAAATTCCTCTTGGGATGCACCATGCATTTGATTTCCATTCACAATTGAAATGAGTGAGTAACATATGAATATGTTATAGGCCTATGCATTGACCGTCTGAGTTGGTGTATTTTCTCAAAGAGTCTGCTTTTTGTTTCCAACCCAGGGATAAGCTTTGTAGGCATGAATGAGGCTCTAGCTAGGGTTTCATTCCCAGTATGGGTCGTGCGTGGGTTGAGGATCTTCGAATGAGTCACGCGTGGGTTGAGCATCGGGTTGGGTGTTGGGTTGGGTGGGGGGGGTCGTGATATGTCCAGTGGGGGACGGAGGTTGTAAGTGCCGGGATCAGTCATGATCAGGGTAGTGAAACCTGCTCAAGAGTGAATGAATGGGAACCGCGACTTGCCCTGACGTTGAGTGCACGGCGCGTTCCTGAGCGAGTTTGGCCATTGCCACTCGGTGCAACTTGCAGCATGATATGCTCCCGAGAGGGATTGATCAGAATAATATGAAGTAATCCACTACTCATGAAGAAACGCAATTTTCGGCTATCACAAGAGGGAGCTGTGCTGAGTTGTGGGCAAAACTTTCGCCCCAGCCGGGATTCGTACCCGGATCTCTTGCTTTCCGGGCAATTGTGCTACCAGTTACACCACCGAGGCACCATTTCACCCTCATCAGATGGTAAAGTGACCATAGGGCAGGGACAAAAGGCGAAGTTCGGGCTCAGACCCACCTAAGAAGCCCTTACCATGGCTAGAAGTGCTGGGTACGCAAGTGCAAAGGTAGCGCCACCTTTCTACATCGAAACGCGTCACTAGGACCCTAGGCGCCATGGACTTCTAACAGACTCCACCAAACTTAACATGGTCCGCCCACCGTTCGATATCTTGTCTGCGTCGCTGCGTTGATCTGCTATGCTCTCTCTTCTCGGACTTCTCTACCACTCTCCGCGCTCACATTATCTCTCATCTCCCTGCCTGTCTTTTGAACTTCTCCACAGCATGGAGCAAAATGCTCGTATTTCCTGTTTATTTCACGATTTTCTTTCCTTTTTTCTCCATTAGCGGTTCATCTCCCATCCCTACATTCACATTTTGGTGGAATCAACCCATCAATGTAACCCTGGTTCTTGCCTTCAATTTACATTGCAGCACACTTCTACATTTATTAGAGGGCCCAAAGTTTGTGGTTTCCGAACATGCTTTGACTTTTGTACAAACTCTCCGAGC